CCTGGATCCCTGCTGCTGCTCCCTCGCTCAGTTATAGAAGCTGTTAAGTCCAAAGTTCCTGGATCAAACATCAAATTGGAGCCTTTTCTTGACTCACGCAGCTGCAGGGGCTGATGAGCTTAAGGTTGCCAGGCAATATACTGGCTGTTGACTTTGGCAGATGATGAATCCAAGATCACCAGGCAGAATGGTGTATTGTTCACTCATTAACAGTTATAGGCAGAGTCTATGATGCACCATCTTAAATTCTGAGTTCTTAACAGAGAATTTTACATTCATGACTTCGCCTTTCCTTCTAGTCAGTTCATATATTCCTGATCATACCCTAGATTTAATTTTTGACCTGAAACTTTTTCTTGCCTTGAACCCTATGCTGGCTGGAAAGACTATCCTGAGCTCAGTATTTCTACTTGAAAATGGAGTCAATCATTTTTTTGTTCATCTCTATCTTCTCACAGTTTACCATATAGGCAGCTAGAAGAATCCAGGTGGTATCTTCAAAATACTGCATGAAAATTTCCTCAGCTAGATCTTGAGTTCATTAGATCCATTACCTAGTTCCCAGCCCTTGGCCAGCATTGTAGCCAAACTTTCCACCCCTGCATAACAAGTGTCTTTTTACCTCAAGCTTCCAGTACTATATTCCTTACTTTCCTTTAAGTCCTGGGAGCTTCCACTAACCATCTCTTCAAGTCTTTCCTGCTTGCTGCCTGGTCACAAAACCACTGCCTCATGTTTTAGGTTTTTGTCAAGGAAGCATCTCACCTGCAGATAGCAGATTCTGTTCCATATTTTCCATAACAGTCCAGTCCAAACTTCATCACAGTGAAGACCATTTTACCATGATTATGGATTCTGTGGGTCAGGAATTTGGAGAGGCCACAGCAAAGACAGCAAAGATGGCTCATCTTTGTTCTATGATGTCTGAGGTGATCATCACAGTGAAAGTTTGGGGGTTCTTGGGAGTGAGTTGGGCAGAACATAAATAACTTGTGCCCAGAGGGCTGACCATCAAATTCTTTGATTCTCTTGCCAGTGAAAGGTGGGTCTATGTCACCTGTCTTTGAATCTAGGAGAGCTTGTGACTTCCTTTGACCAGTAGAGTATGGCAGATGTGACACTGTGATTTCCAAGGCTGGATCACAAAAGGCCATGCAGCTTCCTTCTGGTTCTCTTGAAACATTTGTTTTCAGGATATTCCCTTTCAGGACCCAGACACTAGACTGAACAGCCCAAGCTATGTGTCCCAACTGAGGGGTCCCAACTGAGCCCATCCTTCAACCTGCAGAAGTGGGTTTCCAGTGCCAGCTCTTCCAGGTACCATTCAAGCCACCCCAACTGAGATCCAGCTATCACGGAAAAGACAAAAGCCATCCTGATTATGCCCTATCTAATTTTCTGACCCATGGAAACCATGAGCATAATAAAACAGCTCTTGTTTTACATCACTAAGTTTTGGAGTGGTTTGTTACACAGCAATAGTAATTGGTAAAGTGTTATTATTGTTTTTAAATTTCCTGTATCCAAATGCACCTCTCTATTGCCTTCACCTGGGTTGGAATGCTCCCTCCACCTTGTCTTTGATGCACCACTTCTTGGTTCTTCTATATTTCCTCTAACTTCTGCTAGCCAATTGAATTGTTCTGTCTTTAGCTCATCTCTCTCCTCCCACACGTTATCAAATGCAGTTAAAAGAATCTAATTGGGCCTTTCAACATTCTGCCTGGAAAACCCCTTCGTCATATTTTCAAGTTTATTAAGTGTTTTCTGTCTTCCAGTTATTGCAACTAACAGTTTTGCCACTGTTCCACTACTTCAAAATAGCCTCCAATGACATTTTCCTCGCTGCCTTTTTCAGCATCCACTAACAGTTTGTTTGCCATTCTTCTGGTTGTCAGCATCAGTCTTCACTGCGTTTCTAGATTCCACTTGCTACCTGGTCCCCAAACCAATGCCACGTTTTAGGGTTTTGTTTTGGGAGCACCCAACTTCTGAAGACAACATCGTCTCAGTTATGGTATAGCAAACCACCCCAAAACTAGTAGCTTGTTACAATAGCCACTTATTAGCTCATGCACCTGTGAGTTGGTAGTTTGGGATTAACTAGGCAATTCTTCTGAGCGTGCCTGGGCTCACTCATGTGTTTGTAGTTAGTTGGTATGCCAATTGAAGTTTGGCTGGGCCCAGATGGCCTTTCTCACGTCTTGGGCCTCAGCTGGGATGGCTGGGGTATCTAAGCCCCATTTTCACTCAGTGCCTCATCCTCCAGGAGGCTAGCTTGGGTTTGTTGGGAAGGCAGCAGTGTTTCAAGAGAGCGAGAATGGAAGTTGGAAGACCTCTTGAGAGTCATGTTTGGAAGCCACCTAATCATTTCTGCAGCATTTAATTGGCCAAAAGGAAGTCCTAAGGCCAGTCCATATTCTGGAGAAGGGGAAATAGACATGTTGATAGAAAAAGATGAAAGAGTCTTTGTAGAACAGACTTGATCTGTCACTATGTGGCAGGTTCCAAAGAGCCTCTGTCGAACAGGGACTTGACCATGTGTCACTATTTGCCTAAGTTTGATCATATTAGTATATACATGAGAACAAAAAGTAAAAGCAGATAGGCACTGAGTAAACAGCAGTGGCTCCATACCATTGGGCACATGTTTGACAGTTAGTATTACAGATGTATAGTAGATATTTAATAAATCCTTGTTGCTTTCACAAGATAGCTATCAGATGTCTTTCTGATATAATTGGTGTCATTTATATAACCGATTCTTTTGGAAAGATTATAGACATTTTATCCTTTCTGTATGCATCTAAACTTACTTGTTACATTCTAAAATGTAAACTAAAGGAAAAAATATATCACACTGGTTATCCATAGATAATTATGATAATAGAAGTTCCCTTTCTTTTCCATAATGGGCCAAAAAGTCTATAGAAGAAGGGTTAGAAAAGCTGAAAACATTGCTAGGATTTGGGTCTTGTTTGGGCAGTAGAAAGTAGGGCAGGAAATAGTAGACCTTTAAACTTCTAGCCTTTATTGTAACTAATAACTTCCCACTAAACTCATGTCCACACACTGTTTTTTATATGACATCAGGAATCCCAAAGGAACAAGGACCAATTGTAATCAAAAAGAAGAAATAAACACGAATATGCCCTGAGACATATCCCAGTAGTGGTCGAGTGGTATTGGTTTGGTGAGTGATCAGGAGCAATTCCAAACCAATAAGGATTTGCATGCTTACAGAATGAAATCGAGAGAGCAAAAAGATAAAGAAGACCACAAAGCAGGAAACAAAATCCACTTGGAGAAGCCAGGACCGAATAGCTTAGATAGTGAAGAAGACAAGGGTTTCTGATGCAGAAGAGACACACTGTATTTTTAACAAATAATTTAACAAAACATATTACCACAAAACAGTTTATAAAAATTGAAGATACTTAAGACAGTGAACAAATAGAGAGATGGAGATTTTGAACAATACCATGGTCTAAGTATTTCCATCTTGCTTTTATGATTTGTTGGCCTGAGTCCTGTTCAGAAAATGAGATTATCCAGAGCCAGCAACCTTGTGCTAAAATAAAAGTGGAACACAAGCTTTATGTTAAAATGGGCAATTCAATACATTGGCAACATTTTTTAAAAAGTAATTATTGTTGTTGAAAATATACACAGCAAAACACAAATATAACAATTTCTACATGTACTATGCAGTGACATTGATTACATTCTTCAAGTGTTATTTTCAAGTTTATTAAGTGTGTTTTCTGTCTTCCAGTTATTGCAACTAACAGTTTTGCCACAGTTCCACTACTTCAAAATAGCCTCCAATGACAGTTTCCTCGCTGCCTTTTTCCGCATCCACTAACGGTTTGTTTGCCATTCTTCTGGTTGTCAGCATCAGTCTTCACTGCGTTTCTAGATTCCACCTGCTGCCTGGTCCCCAAGCCAAGTTGTAACTGGCGACATTTTGATGTAGGTTTTGGGCTTGCCTTCTTCCCTTTATGTCTCCTCTTCCAGCTGTAGGTCATGGAGGGTTCTCAAATCCCCCCCAAACTCTTGAGTTCATAGTGGCTTAGAAATTATACCCTCTGGGACACACCATCTTTATAAGTGCTACTAAAAGACCAAAAATCTTTCTGGATGTGGACATTGAATATCTGGTCAGGCTCTAACAGCCTTGAGGACACATCTTTTGAGGTGGTCAGGGATGTTTCCTGTCTGCCTCTCAAATTGCTTCCCACAAATGCTGTTCACTGCTCTGTTTGCTCGTCAGATCAACACTGACAACAGCCCTGGAATCTCTCATGCGACCTCACTTTTCCTGTTCCTGTCAGTTCATCTGTGATGGCTCTTCCATAGTAGGTGTCAGTGGCTGACTCTTTGAATGGTACTTGCTGGGTTTGGTGTGCCCTCTGGTGTCCAGTGGCATTTGAAGGTCTTCACACAGACAGCATTCTGGTGAGATGAGCAGGCTTGTTGCTGATCAGCTCAGCGCAGTGCAATCACCTACTTGTCCGGCAGGGAGCAAAGGAAGGTTAGCTTGTAATGAAAATCTGCTCGGTTAATGGTGGATAGAGTAACTTTGAAAGGTTTGTTCTGGGGTCAAAATGATTCCTTTCCTGCTCTGATGTGCTCTCTCTGGGTAACTGTTTTAATTTTTTTCCTTCAGATTTCTGCTAAAAGCTCTTCAAATACTACCTCAAAATAACTCAGAAACACCCCCACCCCCTTTAAGAGGTAAATTTACAGAGGGCTTCCTAACACAGCTCTGCTGATACTAGACCATTCCTACCACTCAGGCTAATACAAAACACGTCTCACCACTGTTTATAACTATGGCTGAAATCTAACCGGGCAGGGATATCCGGCATTTTTGGAAACCAGTAGCATTTGAGAAATGGGCTGTCAGTTCCTGTGGCCCTTGACGCTTCCATTTGTTCCCATTAGTAACCCAACTGACCTCAGCATTTAGTTCAATAGACTTTACTTTCTGCTTCTAGAACTGCAGCTCCCATGTTAGAAGAGCAGTTGTCACCTGCTTTTCAGCAGGGTGCTGTGGTCGCCACGGAAACAGGCCTGTTCGGTACTGCAAGAGATGCCACTCGAACCATCATAGTAACGAAGTGGGGGCCGCAGCGGAGACGCACCTCTATCAGACCTCCCCCCCACCCATCAACACCCGAGAGTGTGGCGCGGAGGAGCTCGTCTGCACGGTGGAGGCAGTGATTAGGTAACCGCAGCTCCATGGAAGTTTAAGCTGGAAACATCACCTTGGCTTTGAGCTCCCTTCGCACTCTGAGATGCGCTCCTTGATCAACTTCCGGTGCCCCCAGCCTAGCGCTCAGTTTCCCACAACCTTGCAAGGATGGCCTTTTATTTCATTCAACAATTTGTTTTTTTATTGAATGCCAGTTATGTGCCAGGCACTTGGGAAACAGAATAAAGTGTACTCTCTGCCCTCAAGCCACTCACGGTCTAGAAGTGACTAGAAAAGCAAAAGGACAGGCCTCTCTCCACTCTAGTCCAGTGAGTGCACGGAAATCGCTGAGGATGCGCAGGAAGTGAGATGAGAGGCCATCAGTGAGGGGTGACGGGGGGCGGGGCTGGCCCTGAGTGACAGCTGGGTTAGCCAGTGAGGAGAGGGGAGAGAGCCGGAACTAACCAACCTGGACGCAGGCAGCTCAGCTGAGAGAACTCGAGTCTGTTGGGGCTGGCCTACCCAGGAGGCTGTGTGTGGAGTGAGGCTCTGGAGTTAAGACTGGGATCCTGCAGATGGCCGGGGTTTTCTCCTTCTATCACGTGACAGAAAAAGGAGCTTGAGAAATGATAACCTCTGCGGTTGTGTTGTTGTATAATATTGAGGCAAGATTTGAAAAAAAGTATAAGTAAGTTTTTAAGGACAGGGATTACCCCTTTTATGTTTCTTTTATCTCATGGTATACACAGAGTAGAAATGCAATAAACGTTTGTCAAATTAAAAAAGATAAAACAAAAAGCCCCAACCCCCAGATCAGCCAGAGTGGTATTGCACTCATCATCAATGTTGCACTTGTTCTTGATTTCTTCAAACGCATGTTTTTATCTATGTAACTGTAGACATTGTATCCACAGTTTATTTTTTATATGATATTATGCCATTAGCTCTTTTCCAGCTTGCTGTGCAGTTTCCATTTTTATCGTTTTCCGGTACCATGTTTTTACACAAATAATGCACGTGGTAAACGTTCTTTTGCAAACCGCACAACCTCCTTGAGCATTAGTGTCCTGTGTGCTCTGCGTGGGAGCGCCAGATGTGAACAGATGCAGCGCGTACAGAAGAGGCCCCTAGACGCTACTTGTTTCCCTCCATCCTTAGAAGTTTGTATTGTCCTTTTCTCCCCACTCTTTCAAATCATTACAATAAGTAACTCTGGCCAACATTTAGTATTATTATTTTTAAAAAATGTTACTTGTTTAGCTAATTGAAAAACAAATCTTTGTTGCTTGACTTTCAGGTCTTTAAACACTAGATAGTGAATATTTTTCTATTTGGTACCGATCTCCCAAGCTTTCCTTGCATTATGCATATTGGTCAATATAGAAGTGAAAGCATTGGCTGCTGGTGGGATGGTTGGCAATCCAGATCCCAGAAGGTGTTGGTTCTGCTTGATTCTAACTGGTTGTAGGCAGTGGCCTCTATTTGCTTCAAGTTATTCATCTTTGAAATGGAGATGTAGTACAAAACCCAAAACCCACTGCCATCAAGTTGATTCCGATTCATAGTGACCCTGTAGGACAGAGTAGAACTGCCCCATAGGGTTTCCAAAGCTGTAAATCTTTATGGAAGTGGATTGCCTCATCTTCTTTCCACAGAGGGCTGGTAAGATTGAACCTCCCATCTTCTACTTAGCAATCAGATGCCTTAGACACTGCACCGCCAGAGCTCTTTTCCAGCAGTAACTGGTACCAATTTAAGGAAGAGCAATTAGGGATGCTTGAGTACTGTTGAAGTAATTGGCTGTGAATAAGTTATAATGCATAATGTGTTTTTAGCTAGTATAACTTGAACGAACTGCTCTTTTGCAGCTTGTTAAAAGAAGCCGAGTACCACGCGGAGCAGCGGGAACACGAACTGAATCGCCGGAGGCAGCTGGGCCTTTCCTCTTCCCACCACTCCTTGGATAATGCTGACTTTGATAACAAGGACGATGATAAGCATGACCAGCGGCTGCTCAGTCAGTTTGGAATATGGTTCTTAGTAAGGAAAAGAAGTTAACTATTCTCCATTTCTTATTTGTCATTCCGAGATTGCACCAGTGAGGAATTTCTCCTGTTCTTTTTAAAGAAGTAAATAGTAGTGAAAAATTAACCTTAGAAATGTTACTATACTTGAGAGCCGTGGCTCTCATCCCTGGGCTGCACACGAGATTTACCTGGATAGCTTAAAAAACAGACCAACAAACCAGCTGGGCCCAGATCCCACTCTAGACAAATAAAACCGGAATCTTGGGGATTTTAAAAAGCTCCTGGTTGATTCTAATAAATGAATAGTCAGGTGTTTGAAGCCACTGGGCCAGAGACCAGGGTGGTTGAAATGCACGTTTTGTCAGGAAACGAAAGGGAAAGTTGTTAGAACTGCTGTCAAACTCTGGGTTCAAAATAATTTACAGATAATTCACATGCCGATACCTATATACCTGAAAGTTTTCTTGCAATTTCTGTCTCTGTGGAGCTTTTTGTGTTTTTATGGCAATGTCTGTGCACAGCCAAACAGAAATTATAGCCAGCTTGGTCCTTTAGCAAGAAATGTGGTTGAGATGGACTGGTTCCGTCAGTAGAGCCCAGCCCTGACGTCCCAGGCAAGCTGAATCTCCTGGTGCCACACTGAAGCAGGCTTTTGGTTTGGTCCATTGGGGACTTTGGATGAAGTCTCCATGGTGATGCATCTTGTTTATGCTTTCACATGGTTCCCTGAACAAGTCTTCACCAAATGGAAGCTTAATGGTTGATTCCGTATGCCTGGCTACCTGGAACTTATGATCTATCAACACAACACTACTGTGAATTCTCTGAAGGCAGAGATGGTGTTTCATTTATTTTTGTGTATTTCTAGAGCTGACTTGGAGCTCAATAAAAGTTTATTTCAGAATAAACACACTGTTTGAAAAAGTCTTTAAAATGTGGTGCATCGGGGGCCTGCAAGGTGTTAGAATTATTACTGATACAAAATTCTTAGCTAAGTCTGATCATTTTACAACTGAAATGCACACAGATAAGTTTTCAGTAAAGATATTGATGAAATACCATTTTCTAGACTGAGCTATACACACATTCCCCACTTTTTCAAAGTTCACCGTATGCCACTTCACTTTTATGAAAGAGCTATTTTCACCAACTGAGAAAAATCCCATAAGGATTTTCACTTTTACGGAAAAAGCCAAAAAGTGAAATTGGCGTTCAGCATTTGCTTTGCAGCACACCATTAAAGAGGCAGCGCACAGCCTGAGCAGCAAGCGTGGGCATGGCCAGGCTCCTTCCCTGAGGGGACTGCACTCAGCATCTCAGCATCAAGCCTCCGTACCTTTGAACTGTCTGTGGATGCTATGTGTTAGTGTTACTTAGGTTCTATATGTTAATCGGTAGGTTATTTTTTGGGGTCTAGGAATGTTCAAAAATCTTTCCCACGTAAATTCATGGTAATTACTTCTTTGCTTTACGCCATTTCAGTTTATGAAAGATTTCATAGGAACTCTTTTTTCATATAGCAGAGAAACCTTTATTAGTCTAGTGCGTATACATAAGAGCTTTCTTATTGAAGAGAAGACTTATGGGAAGGCAGACTCTCGAGGAGAAATTATGGTTGCAATCCTTCTTTCCTTTAGAGAGGAACTGATTTTCCAGGATAAGCAGTCCTTAGCCATGTATGTTGTTGTTGTTGTTGTTGTGTGCTGTCGATTCAGATATGACTCATAGCGACCCCTCCTTGAGTTTCCGAGGTGGTATCACTATGGAAGTAGATTGTTCAACCTTCCTTCCGAGGAGTGGCTGGTGGGTTTGAACCGCTAGCCTTCTGGTTAGCAGTCAAGTGCCTTAGGCACTACTCTACCAGCATATGTTGTTGTTGTTGTTATGTGGCTTATTTCCAATGGGGTATCTGGGACATTTTTTGCCTTTCAGTGAACATGTAATCACTATATAAATTGGTTGGAGGCTGAAGCAGGGATCTAATCTGCCTGTTTTCAGGTGAGCCTCTGCACACCCAGTGAGAACACGCCTACAGAAAGCTTGGCCAGGCTGGTGGCCATGGTGTTCCAGTGGTTTCACTCCACGGCGTATATGATGGATGATGAAGTTGGCAGTTTGGTGGAAAAGCTGAAGCCTCAGTTTGTCACCAAGTGGCTGAAGACAGTATGTGATGTTCGCTTTGATGTCATGGTCATGTGCCTTCTTCCCAAACCCATGGAGTTTGCCAGGGTAAGTGGGGGCCTATAGCGTGAACTCGCTGGAGAGATGGACTCGGTTTGGAGAAGTGCCACTTTAGCCATTAGGGTGTTCTCTGCTCTGTAGAAGAGGAACACCTCTACTGGTTTCAATTAGGATAGCTAAATGACTTCAGTGTAGTAGCTGTAACTCAGGCAATGTGCTACTTTGATGCTGATTAGAGATAATTTGTGAGATTATGTTTAAGCATAGAAGAGAATATTCTTTTCGAAGTTACTCAATATTTTTATTAAGATATGAGAAAAAAAAAAAAGCCTTTGTATGAGGTCGCTAAATCTCAGTGCCTGTGTAAAGCCTATCATCCAACTTGGGGCAGTTCCTGTGGTTTCACATACTGGCAATGAATGGCAGGACTTCCTGCCAAATGCTCCTTTTGTCTGCTTGAGAGACATATTTCTCTGTGCTTATTCTCTCGCTTCTGCCTCGTGGAGCACAGCATCAGATGTGCAGCAGGGAAGACCCCATATTGCCCAGACACAAGCTAGTTTCTGTCTGCTCTAGCAAGAAACAGTTTTTGGCAGCAATACATGAAAACTTTTTTTGAAACTATTTTCTAAGTTTTGTTTTTATTTGTGATTTTCTGTTTATTTTCAAAAAAGATCATGGGGCAGTTTTCAGTTCAAAACCGTTTTAAAATGAGACATTTAATGACGGAATAGCACATAGAGTAGTGAGAGGAGCAGCTTTGGTCTGACTTCCAGGACTCAGTGATGTGTGCGTTTATTAAGTACTTCCTTCTTCTTCAGTGCCACCTACTGACTCACATACAGAATGAAATTTCTGAATAATGGACATTTCCCATTTCTGGATGTTTTTGAGTATGTTGATGTTTTCTAATGATTTTTCTTTTGGAATAGTGAAGAATTGGTGTGATCTGCTTCTGAAAGATAAGAAGAAATGAATACATGGCCAAAGGAATGCCAGCAGTGACCCGTCCCTGTGTTGTCAGTGTTTTTCTTCTGACTCTGGGTTATAATCACCAAAAACAAAAGAAATCCCAGAAACATAAGCACTTCTTCCAAATAGTCAGTCATTTCATATTTGGTCAATATCACACCACAGAGATAGTGTAATTCAAAATGAGATTGATTTGATTCTTTGGAATAGTATGGAATCATAGGTATAATAAACCCCAAAAGCAAACTCACTGTCATTGAGTTGATTCTGACTCATAGCAACCCTACAGGACAGAATAAAACTTGTCTACTGGGATTTCCAAGGCTGTATATCTCTTTGGAATCAGACTGCCTCATCCTTCTCTCTTAAAGCAGCTAGTGGGTTCGAACTGCTTATCTTTTGGTTAGCAGCCCAATGTTTTAACCACAGTACCACCAGAACTCCAAAACCAAAGTCACTGCCATTGAGTCATTTCTGACTCATGGATGTAATAGGTTTTGGTTTTTTTTTTAATCATTTAAAATAATTGTCCACAAATCTTGTGTTACATGGTAAAGATCCAGGACCAGTCAACCCTTTGCTATTTTGATACAAGGGCATAGGATTTTTATCTAGTGCAAGTCATATGAGCAGAACCTAAATTCCTGGTTTTAATATTTTCCTGCTGTGGAAGATTAATATACTATCATAAGCAGTAAAAAATGGCAGTATTTTTTGTTCACAGGTTCAACCAGCCCTAGAGCATTCTTGGGGGAAAAAAAATCAATTGTGGCAGAATATGCAGCATAAGAAAAATAAAACTACACTCTTCCACCTCATTTTCTGTCATAAATAATCTTACCATGAAGGGTGCAAGAGTGGAAGTCAGTGTTCCTCTGAAGCCCCAGTAACACAGCACAGAGTGTAACGGGTTTGTCGAACTTTGGAAACAACAGTACTCTAATAGTATGCTCGGCATGTGGGCATACATGTTTGGAATTTTAATTTATGTGTGATTCAGGAAGTCTGCAATAGAATAGTTCCAATGTGATCTGTTATGAATATTTGGACTTAATCTGTGGCTGTGCTTCGTTTTGTATAACTAATTGATCCTGTGGTTTGTGGATTCTTGAAAATCGCACTCTGAGGAGTCTGGTTGAGGACTCAGCTGGGAAGGAGTGTGTCGCACATGAGCTGTGCTCATTGCCTTTAGGAGGTCCTGGAGTATAATTGTAATGAATGCATGTTCTTTCTCCCTGTGGCTCTGGAAACCCAGGTTGGCGGGTACTGGGATAAGTCCTGTGGCACGGTGACGCAGCTGAAGGAAGGGCTCAACAGGATCCTCTGCCTGATCCCCTACAATGTGATCAGTCAGTCTGTGTGGGAGTGTATCATGCCGGAGTGGCTGGAAGCCATCAGAACAGAAGTCCCAGATAGCCAGCTGAAGGAATTCAGGGAAGTATTAAGGTGGGTGAGTAGTTTAATGCAAAACAAAACTGAAACAAACTCACTGCCGTCGAGTTGGATGTGACTCATAGCGACCCCTCTTTGAGTTTCCGAGGCGGTATCACTATGGAAGTAGATTGCCCAACATTCCTTCTGAGGAGTGGCTGGTGGGTTTGAACTACCAGCCTTCTGGTTAGCAGTCAAATGCCTTAGGCACTATGCCCCCAGAGCTCCCAGTTTAATGAAGTCAATGCAGTTATAATGATGTCTTACTACATGCCAGGCACTGCACTAAGCATTTTATATCATCTTATTTACTTTGTAACAAACCTGTGGAGAAATCTGAAGCCCCCAAAATGAAATAGCTATTACAAATCATGATAATATTCTTGTGGAATACTAAATTCTTATTGACATTGAGTCTATTTTGACTCATACCAACCCTACAGAACAGAGTAGACTGTCCTATAGGGTTTCCAAGGCTGTAGTCTTTGTGGAGGGAGCTCTCGTGGTGTAGTGCCTAAGGCATCTGACTGCTAACTGTAAAGCCAGCTGTTCATACCCACAAGCCACTCCTCGGAAGGAAGACTAGGCAATCTTCTGTAGAAACACTGCCTTGGAAACCAAAGGAGGGGTCACTATGAGTTGGAATCGACTGGATGGCAGTGAGAATGAGTGAGAGTCTTTATGTAAGCAGACTGCCACTTCTTTTTCCTGCAGGTTGGCTGGTGGGTTTAAACTATTGACCCTTCATTTAGCAGTGGAGTGCTTGATTATTGTGCCACCAGGACTCCTCAGAATACTGTATAGACACATCATATTGTTAGATTCTTTTCTTTTTTTTTTATTGTGATTTGGGTGAAAATTTACAGAGCAAATTCGCTTTCCATACAGCAGTTCACATACACTTTGTCTCATGACATTGACCACAATTTACCAAAATGCAACAGCTCCTCTCCCACTTCCTCCCGATAGTTACCTCTTCCCTATGTCCACCCTTCATGCACTTCTGCCCCCTGAGCTGTCTCCCTGTGCATAAGCAGCCCTTCTTTTTCCCATGATTGTTCTCTCCAAGGAGTGTATCTACCTCAGGTAAATATTCAACTCATACGCCTGTCTTTTGTTTGGCTGGAAGCTACAAGTGTGGGTTCATTTCCAGGCCTGAAGGGCATGTAGGGGCCATAGTTTCAGTGGTTCCATCAGGCTCTGTCAGACCACCAAACCTGGTCCCCCCCCCCTTTTTTTTCTCCAAATGATTTTGAGTTTTGTTCCACATTGTTCTCCCTCTCTACCAAGGGTCTCCTACATAGATCCCCTTCTGAGTGGATGACAGTAGCCGGGCGGCACCATCTAGTTATTCTGGTCTCATATAGGCTGCAGATCGGAAGGTGTTCCAGTCACTAGGACTAATTGTTTCCATGAATTTTAGGTTTCTTCATTCTTCTTTGCTCTGGATGAGGAGAGACCCATCATTGCATCTAGATGGCAGCTTGCTAGCTTTCAAGATCCCAGTCGCTATTCGCCAAAGTAGGAGGTGGAACAATGTTTTGTATAGTATGTTATGCTAATTGAGCTTGATGTCCCCTGTGATTATGGTCCTGAGCCCACAGCTTCCACTACTCGGTCCCTCTGGGTAGCTGGCTGTGACCAAGCAGTGACTACAGCCTTGCCCCTTGTCAGCTCTACTATACACCTGGGAATTCTGATCATTCACATAAACTTATAGGACCATTGTGTGCCAACCCTACACATGTTCTTGGATACACTCCCCACTTCATAGACATACCAATAGTTCAGCCTGTCTACCCGTATACCCATGTTTGCCTTCACTGACAGCGCAGTACTATATGCTGTTAGAGTATTTTCAAATATAATTTTGATTGGATTTGGTGGGAAGAACACAAAGTAAAAATGTTTTTGGAAGCTGGTGAGAAACTCTTAATTCCTTAGATCTGCAGTTCTTTCTGTTAGACCCAACCTAAGTAGGAATACTGCTGTTATTAACAACCTCATGACTTGAGTCGGCCCTCTGTATCTGTGGGTACCACATAAGCAACCCACTGTGGGTCAAAAGTATTTAGGGGAAAAAAAGATAATTAAAGTGATCAAAGCAATCCCTCAATGACTAAGAGGGAGTGTAAAGTGCTGTTTACATAAGACATTTGATTGACTGCCAACCAGAATGCTGGCAGTTCAAATCCACCAGCCACTCCTCGGAAGGAAGTTTGGGCAATCTACTTCCGTAGAGATACTGCCTTGGAAACCCACGGAGGGGTTGCTGTGAGTCAAATCGACTTGATGGCAGTGAGTTTGGTTTTTTTTTTTTTTTTTGTACTTTGTATTAGGTATTATAAGTAATCCACCAGCCGCTCCTCGGAAGGAAGGTTGGGCAATCTACTTCCATAGTGATACTGCCTCGGAAACCCAAGGAGGTATCGCTATGAGTTGGGTCCGACTCGATGGCACATAAGAACAACAACAACAGAGATGATTTAAAGTATAGAGGAGGATGTGCATAGGTTATATGCAAATTCTGTGCCATTTTATGTCAGGGACTTGAGCATCCACAGACTTTGGTATCCATGGGAGTCCTGTACCAATCCCTTATAGATATCAAGGGCTGACTGTGTCTATTATAAAATATCTATTCCAATGATACAAACCATTCTATTACATTACAATGGGCATGTTAACGACAGTTCAGAGCACAGACTAATCTAAAGTGGTTTGACTCTCCAAATACAATTAGAAATGTTTTGGTCTCAACAGCAGACCCTAATATATGCCCATTGGTCATTTACTTTTGTTGCTCTGCTTTCCAGCAAAATGTTTGACATTGAGCTCTGTCCTCTACCTTTTTCAATGGAAGAGATGTTTGGCTTTATTAGTTGTCGATTCACAGGATACCCCTCCTCTGTGCAGGAGCAAGCTTTACTGTGGCTTCATGTAAGTGAACGATTCTTTTGATCATTCTGGGCAATAGTACTTAGCCTATGGACTTTAGATCCCAGGGTAGAGGGGCAGGGAGTTATTGCAAAGAATCAGTAAATATGTATGTTTGCTGGGAACCATTTGTAGATTAGTGTTTCATGTGCTTAGGTAAATGGCTATATTTAAGATATATGTAGCTATAGTCATCATTAACAAAACACAAATGTATGCAATAGCATAACTGAATTCCTGGTAGCTTTTTGTCCTTATGTATTCTTCCATCGGTGGATGCTAAATGACTATCTTATGAAGTCTTTTTTGATAAATCTTTTGATATTAGACAGGTCCTTTCCTAGGAAAGAGTGGGAGCTACTGATTCAGGGAGCAGTTGATGCTGTTGCCTCAGCCTGCAATGATTTCTCCCCTGTCTCCATTTGTAAAGTCTGAGTTATCCTTTTAAAGTCCAACTCAAAAAATATTTTCTCTGTGAAGGTTTTTCTACTTTGCATCCATCTTTCCATCAGAATTCATTATTCTTTCCTCCAGTATTCATATAGTTTCTCTTGTGAATTGTGTTCATTTGTGTCTTAAGTTGTAGTTAGTTTTTGTTTCCCTCCCTGATTACAAACCTTGAGTTTGGGACCATGTCTTACTCATCTTTGAGTTTACCACCCGCTTCACCCTTTCTTCCCAGCATCTAGCACATACCATGCATTTAGTGGATGTTCATAAAAATTTATTAAATTGGGTTGAATACCTGAGAAAGTTTGGATAGTTTCATAAAATGAGGATGGACTCAATGTTTAGATCAACTGGGAACTCATGGAAGGATGTGATATCATAAATTCTTCAAGTTGTAGGGATACCTGTCTGGGTTCTAAACTAAGGAAAATACTTTCACAACTAACAAAGAATAAAAGGGCCATTACAAAAAGTTGCCTTTGGGACTCAGACTTTTAATTTTTTATCCCCTGTACCAGCTATTGATAAGATAATTTCTCATTTTAGGAAAAGCCAATACTTCTATGATGGCTGGGTGCTATCTCAGTTACTAAGTACTGAAAGGGGCTAAAAACAAGTGTTGTCAAACTGTGCCATTGGAGGGGTGAGCAGCAGGGCTGTACACCTCTGAGGGTACTTGACGTAGCTTCAGTCTGAAGACAGGGTGCTGCAGTTGAAGAAGGTTTTAAATCACTACTCCAGTTTCTTCCATGTGGAGAATAGAGTAGAAAATATAGTGGAGGGAGTTGATTCACTTATTAATTAATTATAGACACATTTATAGAGTTCCTATGTGCCAGGCACAGTGAGAGGAATGGGGACAAAAGGGATAGAAAATGGTCTCTTCCTCATATTCCTTTTCTTGGAGAAGTTCAATGGAAGAGATTGTAGAAGATAATTAAATAGTGAAAAGTGACAACTACTCTAATAAACATATGTACAAAGTTGGAAAAAGCAGAGAAGAGGGATAGATTAGTTCTATCTGAAAGAAGGAGACATTTATTTCTAGAAAATTCGTTACAGGTAAGGTGACTTGGTTTAGCCACAGGAGGATATTTGAGATTGCACAGAGGGCAGGATCAGATGGGGCATTCCCATCAATGGAGAGGATAGACCAGAGAGGGAATGGACTGGGGCCAATATCATTGTTCGCAGATTATCAATAGCCTAGGAGAAAGATGATGAACCAAGGCAGTAGCAGTGAGTATGGAGAGGAGGAGGGAGTGGCAAGAGAGAGTTTTAATAGACAGACCATGGTGGCTTATTGGATGTGGGAGACAGAGAACGATGACTTTCAATGACAACTTTTATTTCCTTAGTATGAAAAGTTAAGCATGATTGTGCTGATATTCAGAATGTGTAAGGCAACATGTCCTTGTGTTCAATAGTTTGCTTTGGAAAAAATGTTAAATGTAGTTTTGTGGAGTTGAAAGTTTACATATTTTTGGGGGAATTTATGCTTTTTTTTCCCCCCAGGTGTTGTCGGAGTTAGACATCATGGTTCCACTTCAACTATTAATAAGTATGTTTTCTGATGGAGTTAATTCTGTCAAAGAGCTGGCAAATCAAAGAAAATCAAGAGTCAATGAGTTGGCAGGGAACCTTGCAGCTCGGAGGGTAATTATTGCCATAACCGTTTTTATCTTACTTACCAGCCACTAGGCAGACCAGTGTTTCATTTTGGGGATGAAGGGAATGGATTTTTTTTTTTTTTAATTGAGTTTTGGAAACACATGATGAACTAGTGGTAACTGTGATCAATGCTATGACTATGAGCAACTGAGCACCCCCCCCTTCTTCTGCTTTTTTTTTTTTTACCCTTTGTCTTCTTATGGGTGAGAAAAGTCAATATACTCTTATTTGAAGTGTATGAAAAGTGTTGGAAAATTTCGATAAGTTTTCTGTGAAAGGCCAGTAACTTTATAGGGTTTCAGCAGATGTACTAACATTCCCCAGAGTGTGATCAAGGTTTGGAGAGGCGACTCTTCTTTCATGGTTGGCAAGAACTCTTTTCGGTTCTCTCTTTGTCAAGCCTCCATAAAGGTGTCCATAAAATCTTCTCTGTTGTACACCACCAGCTCCTAGTTATTGTACCTTATATCTAGTGGCTGAAAAATATAACATGATCATGGGATCATAGTTTATATTCAGTGCTTTTAAAAACAAATCATTATTTTCTCATCCTCTCGTTAGAAACCATTTGACAAACTTATTATTTATTATTTTTTTTCTTTGATAATCTTTAATATTACATTCCTTTGTGAGCAGGTTATACTATGCAATGTTTTCACAATTAATGATATTATCTGATGCTCACAGAATTGTGAGAGGCTGTTAGGGAAGAAATCCTCATTTTTGTAACCAACTACTTGACTTGAGGTTCCGTACAGTGAAGTGACTTGCCATCGATGTTGTTGTTAGGTGCCATTGAGTTGGTTCTGACTCATAGCACTCTGTGTACAATGGGACTGATCACTGCTTGGCCTGCACAATTCTCATGATCGTTGCTGTGTTTGTGTTCATTGTTGCAGCTACTGTGTCAATCCATCTCACTGAGGGTCTTCCATTTTTTCGCTGACCTTTTACTTTACTAAGCCTAATGCTTGGTAAAATAGAGCTTGCTGTAGATAGCACTATCAGTATCCAGGTACTCTGATTCTTACTGAGGATGATCTTTCCCTTTACCTTAGAATTGCTGTTCAGGAACCTTTGTGGTTACTAACACGGTCTATAAGAGAGATAATATGATTTGAAATATAAATTTCGAATTTGATATAAAGAAAACAAAAATCCTCACAAATGGACCAATGAGCAGCATCACAATAAATGGAGAGAAGACTGAGGTTGTCAAAGAATTCACATTGCTTGGTTCTACAATCGATGCCAATGGAAGCAGCAGTCAGGACATTAGACGACATGTAGCACTGGTGAAGTCAACCGTGAAGGAACTGTTTCAAGTGCTGAGGAGCAAGGATGTCTCCTTGAGGACTAAAATGTGCCTGACACAAGCCATGATATTTCCAATCACCTGGTATGCATGTGAGAGCTGGACAATGAATAACGAAGACCGAAGAAGAGTTGATGCCTTTGAGTTGTGGTGCTGGCGAAGAATGCTGAAAGTACCGTGGACTGCTAAAAGAACTAATAGATCTGTCCCAGAGGAAGTGCACCCAAAATGCTCCTTGGAAGTGAGAATGGCCAGACTTCGTCTCACCTATTTTGGTCATGTTGTAAGAAGGGACCATTCCCTGGAGAAGGATGTCATGCTTGGTAGGGTGGAGGGTCAACGAAAGAGGGGGAGGCCTTCAAGGAGATGGATTGATACGGTGGCTGCGATGATGGGCTCAAGTATAGCGGGGATCGTGGAGCTGGTGCGGGATCGGTCAGTGTTTCGTTCTGCTGTGCATGGGGTTGCTATGGGTCGGAAACGACTCGGCAGCATCTAACAACAACAACAACAATATGATTTGAGAGTGGTGTCCAGATGTGTCAGTCAGGGTCCTGCTGCAGCATTTTTCTTAGATAGCCCGAATGAAGAGACTTTAATGGAGACTCTGCCTACAGAGTTATAGAAAAAATTAAGGGAGCAGATAGGCACCCCGAGACCTGCAACAGTGTACATGTGTGTATGCATGTATGATTGGTGTTGTGAGATGCCATCCAGTTGATTTCAACTCACGGTTACTTCATGTGAGAGACTGCTCCATAGGCTTTTCCAGGCTGTAATCTTTATGGAAGCAGATTGTCAAGTCTTTCTTCCATGGAGCCACTGGGTGGGTTCAAGCTGCCAACTTCTCAGTTGGCAGCTGGTGCTTAACCAGGGCTCTGTGTGTGTGTGTGTGTGTGTGTGTGTGTGCTATACCTCAAGGACTGGAGGGACAGGAAAAATATTTCTGGAGACCAATGGGAACTGAAACTATGGAGGAAAGGCTGACTAGGGAAGCTAGAAAAAGTGATGGAGATACTGCCAGAGATGTACCAGCAAAGCAGGCAGGGGATAGGGAGAAATATTCCTACCTTTCTCTCCTCCCACTTGAGATCTTTTGCTGGTATCTTCCATTGACTGAACCCAATTAGAAGCCAGTCAGCAAAGGAGCTGGGAGAGACATAGTCCACAGCATCTTGGGCACAGAAAAGGGCAGTTAGGGTCTGGGATAGAGTTTGGGTGGGCAGATGGAGAATAAACAGTGCAATAGGCTTGACATAGATTAAGTTTTCCCAGGATATTTTAATAATTATAGTACCAGAGGTCATTCTTATTCAACCAGTCATGCCATTCTGAGATTGTATAAATTATCATGCAATATAGGATATGGTTTTTAGTAGATTCAGACAGCTTAGATTAATTTGAAATGTTTGATGACAAACACTTCTGACTTTATCCTTCAGGGTGCTGATGTTTCATTTACATGACAATTAGCCAGGCAATTTGGATGGTATTATTTCTTGTTTTTTATTTTAAGAAGCTCCCTATAGTATTTGGAGATATTAATGCCGTTGCATAAGGAAGGAAATTATTGTGACAGCTGGAAATATTTTCCACAAAGTCCTCAAATATTTTGTACTATCATTTGAGCTTTTGCAAGTCCAGTTATATGTGTTGATGTTCTTTCTTCCAGGTGAGTGTTGCCTCTGATCCTGGCCGACAAGTTCAGCATAATATGCTGAGTCCGTTTCATAGTCCTTTCCAGAGTCCATTTCGGAGTCCTATGCGCAGTCCATTTCGTAGCCCTTTCAAGAGTTTTGGACACCCGGGAGGAAGGACTATTGACTTTGATTGTGAAGATGATGAAATGAATCTGAATTGTTTCATCCTCATGTTTGACCTTCTCTTGAAGCAGGTAGCTGAAGCATGAGCTTTTTAGTTCAGAGGTGAAGAAAGAGGGAGAGCATTGTCTAGCGATTCTTTCTTTGTGTGGGGCATCTGAACATTTACTGAAATGACGCAGCATTACTTCATACATTTTGCAAATTCCTTTGGGAATTTCCTAAAGAGTCTGAAAAATATTTGTATGAATATCTGCAATGATACTGACATATGACAGTGGACTTGAATTCAGAAAACCCTTGCTTAATTAGAATCAATTTGGGTGAATATGCTGGATGAACAAACAGGATACTACTGTTGTTGGGAAGAGTTAGACACAACTCTATACTGATGGGGCTGATTTTATTACACATTATAAATTGATTTTTGTAGGCAGTTTTTATTTATTTTTTATTTATTTATTTTTTTAGGATTTGGGTGAAGATTTACAGAGTAAATTCACTTTTCATACAACAGTTCACATATACTTTGTCTCATGTCATTGACCAAAATTTACAATGCAGCAGCTCCCCTCCCACTTCCTCCCCATAGTTACCTCC